GGTGCAAGCGGTGGGGGGGGGGCAGAAAGGCTAAAGGAGGAAGAAGTGGGCAGGGCAGAGGGCAAGGGGGCCACCTGACCCCCTCCCCAGCGGCTGTTTTTCCTGCTGTAGCAGTGCAGGGTGGGTAAGATTCAAGACAACCCTCCAGTACTTAGATTCTATAACTGAAAAATGATCACAAATTGATAGATTTTCCATATACAGAGTATAATTACTGGGAGGGCAAATCATCATATATTCAGGGCCATTTTATATTCAAGTAAATACAGCACCTTGCAAGCTCCACCTCCCACACATTTCTACACTATAAAACTAGATTTTAGTGAGCGCTCAAACTTTTCCGAAACGATACTTATATATAAATTGGTAACAAATAAGAAAAAGAAAAAAAAGCATTATTTAGCTGTCAAAACAAGTCTTTTCAGATGCTGTTCTCAAAATATGCTTGTACTCTTCAGAATTATTGCCAAGTCAATAACTAAGAAAGATTAAAACTTGCTTATTAGGTCACTTTTCAACAAGACAGCTGTTACCAACTGGAGGATTTTAAAAACAGATCTCAGTCAAGTGCTTATATATTCTAGAGGCAGCTCTGTAATTTTCATTTATTTATTAGGGAATTTCCTGAACTATGGAATGACCTTTGCTGAACAGCACTGAAGTCTTTATAAAAAGAAACTTTATTTTTTCCTGCAAGACAAAATCAGTTGAAGGCTCTAGACCTTTATTTTGTTAATTATATATTACAGAAAGGAAGTTGTATCACATGACACTATCTCTGCCTTGCTCAGAGCAACTTTCCTTTAATTATGTTAGAAGTTATTACAACAGTAGTGAAGAAATATTTTCTAATTATTAGTTACAATAACACTCACCAGCCATTGCTGAGGTATCTCTGGCAGAGGCATCTGAGGAGGGGCAGGTAAGCTATTGGAGACTTCTTGTTTTTGTACATGTTCTTTTATTTCAAAACCTAAAGAAGAGACATACGTTCCACTTAAAAACAGTAATCACTAAAATGGGATGCTGTTCTACCATATCTATCTAATGGGCATTCAATCCATCCATAATTAAGTTCAAAGTACTTCTGAACATCATTTATAAGTAAAACAGAACATTTTAACCTATATTACACTGATATAAAATGGAATATTTTTGGCATCCTAACTTAACCAGTGCAAATCAGAGATTTTTCTACCTTAAAAAATGGCAGAGCAGTGACTAATTAGTGCAATCTTAAATGTCCAGACTACAACCTTTCTTCTCAAACTTATTGCCAGATCTTAATTCACTTTCAAAGCGCCACTGTTAAATGTGTTGCCAACACAATAGGTAATACTCTGATGGTTCACACTTCTAATTAAACAGAATAAATATATACACACAAGAAACTTCCTATAAAAAACAAAGCTAATCTGGTTTGGCCGGATACAGAACTGCTTGGCAAGAAGAGCTGTGCTCAGATCAGGCACCTGGAAACTACACCTGGACTGCCACTGCTTTTCCTTGCGCTCCTTTCCCCCACTGGAGTGGGGGCACCACTTCCAGCTGGTGGGGAGCTGGTCCAGGGCTCCATAGCTAGGAGTTGTGTTGCAGGGACAGAGATTAGAGAAGCAGCAATAGCATGAATGCTGCTTCCAGCTACCCCAGCTCAGCTACCCACTGGCTGGAGGCTGTGCCCATGATCCAGCTGGAGAGCATGGGACTAGAAGCAATTCCTAGCTGCCTTGCCCCAATATGGGAGCAGGCAAACCCCAGGCGACTGATGGTCTGCCAAAGCCCCTGGCTCAAGTTGGACTGGAGCAAAGATAGTCTGGTCCACATCTTGTCAAGGTTGCTGGCTGCTGCATTCATGGATCTAAATGGTCAAAACTTAAACAATTTTGCCAGACAGCTTACTAGCTAAAAGGCTAGAAATTTAATGCATCGCACTGGAGCCCAGATTCAGAAAGAACCCTTGTTCAAACTCAGAGGTTGCACACCGAATCACTGGTTACCACATTAGAAGATATCAACGAAAGAAGCAATAAGTGGAGAGATTCACGGAGATTCGCCTTTGTAGGATTTTCTTCATTCAAGCTTGGCTGTTTTTTATGAGGGTTATAGATTTGAAAAGCCCTCACGGGAACACATTTTCCTTAGTGTAACTACCCCTGGAAAAAGAAAAGTATTAACCTCTGACCGTTGGTCATAAAGAGGGAAAAACTGACTGGTTCTGGGATTCTAAGGTGGGAATCCCAGTCAAAACTTGAGCACTTCATAGAAACATGGTATAGTTCATCAAAAAATCAGATGGGGAGATTAGGGTGCATTGTGTTGGCATACATTCTGTCAATGCAGTTGCAGCCTGCTTAGTGCTTACCCCTTGGGCTGAATTTTGTTCCTAGCATTTTGTTTACTTTTTAAATATATATTTACACAGCCAAATGGACATCGTTTGGCCAAAGCCATATGAGTCTCAAAAGTGTAATCAATGATGAAATGTTTCCTGTCATAACAATTTAGTCCCACTGGGTGTGAAGTAATGGAAAGGAAAAACAAAGCCGATAAAGTAAACTGACGAAGTGCCAGAGATTCCTCTTTCTTCTTAAAAATCTAGTTTAGAGATTTTTCTTGGGAAATATTCCAAAATAATGTATTTTGAAAAATGTTACAGCTGAGCTGTGACTCTTTATGGGGAACAACTGTATGTTAAAATTTTTTACCCATATCTAACTGTCTGTTCTGTTTTAATGGTAACAAGAAAGGGATTTCTTACTAAGAAAAAAATCAAAATTAGTCATACTGAATATATAAACCTAGATTTCCTCAAGTTTTTAATACTTTTCTGTTTGATAGTAGCCAAACTGTATGCCCTAATAACCCATCATTTATTCCAGGGGTCTCAAAGATATGGCCCATGGTACTGCCTGCAGGCCTTGGGTCGCTGCCTGCCACATATAGCTTGTGGGGCATGGAGCCGGACCAAGGCACATATTGCATGCGGGGCCACTTCAGGACATGTGATGCATGTGATGCCCAAGTCAGATTGGCCCTGCGTGCTGAATCTGGGACTGGTCCAGATTGGTCCCTCAGACCAGTCCCCTGTACTGTGTACGGCGTGCCAGGCTGGGACCGGCAGAGGTGGATTAATATACAGGCCCACAGGGCTCGGGCCCAGAGGCCCCTGCATGCTTGGGTTTCCTTGGCGAACAGTGGGTTTCCCCTTGCAGGCAGGCAGCATTTTAGCCTGCAAGAGGTCCTGTTTGGGGCTGCCCAGATCAAGATGCAGGGGGCACTGTGTGCATGTGCATGGCCATACATACACACATGGCCAGGAAGACAGCCAGGCAGTATGAAGAGCAGCTACCTGCAGGTAAGTCTATGCAGGGGAAAAAGGGTTGGGGGCAGGAGGGGGGCAGATCAAGGCCCCCATGGTGAGGGAGGGAGTGGGAAGAGCAGGGGCTGGGAGTGCTGCCCTGCCAGAGTGCTCCATGGAATCTGGGGCTGGGGTGGGGAGTGGGACAGAGCCACAGGTGGCTCATCCAGAGGGTGCATCCCATCACTGTGTGCACCCCCCAAGGGTGGCATGAGGGGTATGTGCCCCCCCCCCCCGATTTATGCATGGGGCAGATGCAAGCTGCTCACTGCGGACTTGGGGCTCTCTGCTCTGCTGCCTTTGCCCTGGGAGCCCTGTGCTAGCCATGCACCCCTGCCCGCCCGGGAGCAGTGGCAAGTGTGCCTCCTGTTGCTGCACAGTCAGGAGGTACATGGCCAGTGTGGGGCCCCGCGGGCAAAAGCAGCAGAGCAGAGAGCCCTAAACCCACAGCGAGCAGCCCACATCCACCTTCACCCTGCTCAGCTCCACTCCAGCTGTGGCGGAGGGAGGTGGGGATGGGGAGCAGGAAGGATAGGCGGGCACGTGCCACCCCACCCCCGGCACAGCCAGGTCCATTCAGCCTCCTTTGGGGGGCACGGAGGCCTGCCCCACCCTACGCAGCAGCAGCACCAGGAGGGTGAAAGTGAAGTCTCAGTTTCATAAAGTGAAACAAACAGTGTTGACTGAATTTTTGTTTGGAACCTTCAGTTTGTTCAAACCAAGCAGCAGGGAAATCGAAAGGGGAATTTCAAGATATATGAAAATATATATATATAGTTTACCATATTCATAGATTCATAGATTGTTAGGCGCTGGAAGGGACCTTGTGGATCATCGGGCCCAGTCCCCCTGCAGTAGGCATGAAAAGACAACTGGGGTCAAGTGACCCCAGTGAGGTGACTGCCCAGTCTCCTCTCGAAGGCTTCCAGGGTAGGTGACTGCACCACCTCTGGAGGGAGTTTATTCCACAGTCTGGACACCCTGTGAAGGAGTATTTCCTGGAATTGAGCCTGAAGTGGCCTTCCAGGAGTTCGTATCCATTGCTCCTGGCCTCTCTCAGGGGTGCCCTAGTGAGCAGCTGTTTACTGATTTCTCGGCGGGGGGTGTTTATTTATTATATATAAATATTTAGCTAAAATTAGCTAATAAAAATTAGCTAAAAGAAAGTTACAGTTTATGTGTTTCAGGGAAGTGGTACTATCACCGCTCAAAAAAATCTTTATAAATTTCTACACCTTTAAAAAAAAAAAAAAAAAAA